TTGTTGAACCAAAGACGCTATACCTCATTATGGGATCTCATCAAATATATCCAAGAGTATAGAGAATAATCATCCACAAACAAAAGAAAATACCAATAGCCACCCATAGAAGAAACATGGTATATAGCTCCCACACATTAGTATGAACAATATCAAAAACAGAAGAACATCTTTTATTACTTAATTTAAAAGAATGTCTATGATGCTTTCCAAGTTGACAACCCTCACTCCAAATTTGACAAATGATAGACTCAAACAATTTGGGAAATAAAACACAAAGAAGCAAAAGACAAATGTCATAACTGATTATGCCAAAGTATAATCTGACCCATTGACTCTGACTCAATACTCTTGCTGACATGATGACTAAGAAGTGCATCAAGAAGATAGATTCCATTTACCTCGCGACCACTCCCAATCGTCCTCTTTGATTCCAGATCCTACAAAACACAATGACTAGGGGAGAAAATCACTGAATAGTTCAAATTCTTTATCAAGCTACTAACAGATAAAAGATTAGTGCGTAGTCTAGAAGCATGAACGATAGAAGGTAGGGTAATGGTATCAGTTACCCTAACAAGACCCTTCCCAACAATGAGAACATATGATCCATCGATTGTGGAAACTTTATCTTTGTTAAAGCAAAGGTGGTATGAGGTGAAAATGGTGGAAATATTGGGCATGTTCTGAGGCTCCTGAGTCTATAATCCAAGGAGGTCCCCCCTTATCTGTAGTGGATAAATAATTTGCAGTGGCATGTGAACTACCTATGTGTGCAAACGAGGTAAAATGACTACCTCCTGATCCACCTACACCTTGCTGTCCACTTAATAATGAGTTGGAGATGGTTGTACCCTTCTGATTCATAAACTACCCATATCTCTCTAATCTGACCCTCACTACAACTGCTGCAACAGACTCTAGAGAGGTTGTAGTAGGTGGCCTTGATAAATCACTAGTCATTGCCATATTTACATTTCCCTTCTTATTTCTGATTCAACTCGGTACAAGGTGTGGGTAAAGCTTCCAGCAGGTATCTCTGGTATGTTTGGGTTTCTTATAATAGTCATTGATCAAATCCCTTTTGTCCTCCTTCCTCGGTTCATTTCCACCCTTGTCCCCACTTGGTTTAGGCTTAACTGTACTAACCATAACTGACTGCTAAGGCATGGGTTCCTCATCATCACATTCCTCCTACTCTTCTCTCCAGACACAAAGGCATATGCCTGGGAGAGAGTTACATTGTCTCGACAAAGAATATGTTTCTATGCAATATCATACTCAGGGTTAAGTCCGGCTAAAAACTCAAAAACCCTATTCTTCTCTACCAGCTTCTGATAACTTGTTGCATCTTTTCTACTTTCCCAAACCACAGTCTCCAAATGATCCATCTCCTGCCATAAGGTTTTGAGGGCTGAAAAATAAATAGCAATAGACTAATATCCCTACCTAGTAGCAATCACCTAGTTTCTCAACTGATAGGTTCTCGCAACATTCTCATTCTATGAATAGGCTTCTAGAAACATTACTTATATGGGGCAACATGGATTGCACAGCCAAGTCATCACCATGTAGTTCTCCTTTACCCACCGGGAATGGTTAGTTTCAGGTTTCTTTTCCTCATTGGTGACATACCCCAATTTCCCACGAGCACCAATAGCCATCTTTGCAGATTGTGACCATTCTAAGTAGTTTGTACCATCCAACTTGACTGTAGTGATGGTTCCAGCCCCGAATAGGTCTCCAACACCTCCTCTCTTGGATCCCATTTCTCCTGTAAATTTGTTTTCAACTCCATAGCCCTCCATAACTCCCAGAATAGATTAGGAAATCAATTTGAGATGAAAAGAAAGGTATTTATCTCCTTTAGAAACCTCAAACACCCTCTTGGAACCCTAAAAGCACCTCACTCCAAAGATTCCATTTTTTGTGGGAGCGAGGAGAAGAGAGATAAGAAGTTGTCACTCTCTCCAAAGACTTCCAAAAAGGTCGGGACTTGAATCGTCCCCTTCAGAAAACCTAAAGGAACCCTAGAAAACTAGAGCGCCACTTCCTAGGTCAAAATTAAAGAGTCCTACTATATCAGGACTCTCCCACTTTCTCCAGTTCTTCCTGATTTTGGTCTAAAACCCTAGACCAGCTACAAGGGATTGCAATTCCACAAAAAAGAATCTAAAAACTGGGCTTACCTACAGTCTTTGATCAGCCCTTTACCTCATCATGCAACCGGTCAATCTAGTGCTGCATGATGGAACAGCTCAAGAAATCTTTAAACTTGCTCTGATATCAAGTAGAAAAGTTTGGACAACCTGTTTTGATATAAAAACTGTAAAAGAAAGAAGAAAAGAAAGAAAATAAAAGCTTTTAGATAAGAAAGAGAGAGAAGAGAGATAGAAGAGAATGGAAAAAGTTCAGAATTATGTCTAGCCGCCCCTTTCATTAGATTATATACTCATAAATAAAGTACAAAGACAAGTATGCCCTTAGTAAGTCGGCTACTTGTGAGAACATAAAAATACTCTTAACTTAAAACATAAATTAATGGGCCTAAAGCCCAATAACTCCCTAACTATGCTATGTAAATAAAAAACATGTTATATCAGCCCAAAACTCAACACTTTACATAATAAAAAATCATATTTTCCTCTTTATATTATCTATTCTAATATTTGGGAACCTATTAACATTCCAAGTGAGAATGGATACAAATATTTCATCTCCTTTATTGATGACTTCTCACGATACACTTAGATCTATCCTATGCATTTCCAAGAAGTCCCTAAAATTGTGAAAGACTTTTAGCGTATGGTCTACACCTAATTTCAGATAGGGATTCAATTTTTTTCAATCAAATAATACCAATGAGTACTTTCATGGTGACCTCACAGATTTCTTTGCATTTTGTGGTTCCCATCACAGGAGCTCCTATGACAAAACCCCTTAACAAAATGGAATGGCAAAGAGAAAAAATTGCCATCTTCTAGAAGTTGTTTGGGGACTGTTGTTACAAATGAATGTCCCAAAACAATTTTGGATGGATATTGTTCTAACTACTACTTATGTTATTTCAATAGGGTGCCATCTCGGTTACTAGAATATAAGTCTCCTCATCATCTCTTCTTCCCCAAGACCCGAATGTTTCCTATACCTATGCGTGTCTTTGGGTGTCCGTGTTTCATTCTTGATCTCTCTCCTACTCGTGGTAAACTTGATCCCAAAGCTATTGTGTGTGTTTTCCTTGGTTATCTTCCTCAGAAAAACTATCGTTAGTTTAATCCCGTATTAAAAAAATATTTTCTTTATGGATGTTTCTTTCTTTGAAGATGTTCCCTATTTTCTTATTTCCCCTTAGGGGGAGAGTCCAGTTGAGGAAAGACAAAAATAGATACATGTTTTATTACTTTCTCTTCCTAATCATCCTCCATTTCGTGTCTTCCGAAAACAACATTACAAAAGTTAAAGCCAACAGAGTTCAATTGCCATAGAGCCGCTAGAAGCTATGCAACCAATGCCATCAGACTCTCAAGGGTTGGATCCTTCACCACACCCAAGTACCATTATTCCAGTTGATACCCCTGAACCTATTGATATTGACACTTCAAACTATGATATGGATTTCCCTATTGCAAAAAGGGTGTCAAATCATGCACCACACACCACCCCATAACTCATTTCCTATCCTATGAAAATAGCTCATCATCATTTTGTGCTTTTTCTATCTGCCGTTGATAGTGTTCCTCTCCCTAAGAGCATTGTAGAGGCTTTACTTGTTCCTAAGTGGACAAATGCAATGAAGGAAGAAAATCAATGCCCTACACAAAAAACGACATATGGGAATCAGTAGATCTTCCCAAGGAAAAGGAGCCAGTGAGGTGCAAATGGGTGTTCTCTATGAAACACAAGACAAATGGCACTATTGGAGAGGTACAAGGCTTGGCTAGTTGCAAAAACAGGTGGGTTTTAAGCAGTGTCAAACTAATCACACACTCTTTGTAAAGAAGGAACAAGAAAAACGACAACCTTGATTGTCTATGTGGATGACATTGTTATCACTGGAAATTGGGTCTCAAAGGTACAAAGGTTAAAGAGTTCTTGGCTACACAATTTAAAGTGAAGGATGTAGGGCCTTTATGCTACTTCATTGGAATTGAAGTTGCCCGCTCTTAACAAGGTATCTTCATTTCTCAAAGTACACCTTGGATCTTCTAAAGGATATAGGAAAACTAGGAGAAAAACCCACTAACACCCCTATAGATGTCAATCACAAGCTTGGGGGACAGTAGTGAGCCTTTAAAAGATCTAAAGGCAATACCAAAGACTTGTGGGCAGGCTTCTCTATTTATCTATTACTAGGCCCAACGTTACATATGTCGTGGATGTCCTCAATCAGTTAATGCATGCACCCAATGCAGCAAACCTAGAGGCAGCAAACAGGGTTCTCAGATACTTAAAGAAATCCCCAGGACAAGCCTTCTCTTTAAGAAGCATGGACATATGAGGGTAGAGGTTTACACTGATGCTAATTGGACCGACTCAGTGGATGACAGGAAATCCACCGGCAGCTACTGCACCTTTGTAGGAGGAAATCTTGTTACTTGGAGAAGTAAGAAACAAAGTGTGGTGGCCAAATCAAGTGCAGAGGCGGAATATAGGGCCATGTCACATGGAGTTACTGAAATACTGTGGACAAAAAACCTATTGGGTGAATTGGGCTTTCACTTTGATGATCCTATGTCACTCTATTGTGACAATATAGCTGCTATCAATATTGCAGCCAATCCAGTTCTCCATGATAGAAACAAGTACAATGAGGTAGACAAACATTTTCTTGTCTTCTCTCTTCTCTCTTCTTTCTACCTGACTAGAATCAACTGCCAACCTAATACAACCCTCTTTTATCCAAACAACCCTAGAGGACTCCAACTACATATTTGATCAGATTAATATACTCTATTAGAAAATAATCTACTATTACAATTACTAAAATAATTTGCAAATCATCAATCAAATGGTTAAAAGTTATATTAATCTTTTCCATACAAATGGTCTTTTAGGTGAGATCCTTTTGGACAAATAACAAATATGAACTCTACTTGCAGGTTAAAACAACAAATCTATTTTAAAGAATTTGATTGCTACAGTGTAAAACTATTGAAAATGAGTCCCACAAAAAAAAATCATATGAAAAGTTATATGGTTTAAGAATAATTGCTACAACACAAATATGGAAACAGAATGCGACAGCTGACAATTTGAAAGGGGATTGAACCTGGCCTTCATTGGAGAATCTGGCTACCATAGTCAGCATTGAATTTCTCGTAGCGATGAGCATGGAGATGAGCCGATGGTCTGGTGTTCTTCAAAGCAATCTCAATGTCGTCTTGTGTGACTGGACCAACCTTTGGCAACTCTGAGATCCACAAATAAAAATGTTCCAGATATCATTATTACATCTCTATGAAACACTGCACATGTCATGGACCATATACTATTTATCTATGCAGAAGTAAACTCACAAAAAAGGAAAGAAAATGGAAAGGTAAAATAGATGCTAAGAGTTACAGATTTCACAGATGTGAACTGAAAAGAGCATTATCTCAAGTGCAATTATATCCTATCTGAATAAAACCGATAGAGCTTTGTTTGATTAATTTAAGTTCACTGCATTAGATATGTTCAATCTACAAAAATAGATCATCCAGTTATATACCTTCCTCAGGCACCACTTCTTGCCTGTCCTCCAATTGTATCATTAACCGTCTCAGTGGCTGCATTGCAGCCTCTTTGCAGACTAACCGGATATCTGAACCAGAATAGCCTTCTGTCCTCTCCACCAGCAAATCATATGACAACTCGTCTTCACCAACCACTGATGGCAAGAGTTCTTCAAACATTGCTCTTCTTGCTTCTGGTTCCGGAAGAGGTACAAGGATCTTGTTTTTTATAAAGTCAATGGAGAACTTTGTATACATAGTAAATGTATAGGATCATCATCCATATCCCAACTATATGGTAAATATATAGGATAGTATAGATAAATGCATAGACATACATGGATGGTTAAATACATAGAGCTCTATACTTGCAAGATCAGAAGATCTACTCCCAACCCTATGCTTAAGTGACTATCAGCCGAGTGTGTAGAAAGTAGGAAAGAGGGAGTACACCATAGTCCTACCGCATCTGGGTACTGCATCCGTCCATGATGGACTAGCTAATCACCCATCCTGTCCTTTCTTTATCTTAGTACGAGATGTAATTATCAAGAGGAAAAAAAAAAGACATAAGACATTTTAGTTTCCATTACAATAATAATAACATAGAATTTTCTGACAGAAGTTTTAATTGTGACACCATGAATTGGCTAATTAAAAGGATACACGTTTCTCCAGACGCCGGAGCATAGCTGCATCTAGTTCCCAAGGAAGATTTGTTGCAGCCAAAACAAAAACAAGTTCATCTGTCCGCATCAAACCATCCATCTGCCCAAGTCATCAAATTTGAGAAAACAAATACAAACTATACTGAACTTCATGTCTAAAATACTAACATGATAAAGAAAAAATACTGATTTTACTTGATAAGAAAGAAGTATTGCTAAAATAAGAGGTAAGAGATGTAATTGAATAATAATAATAATTAATAATAATATGACATAAAAAGAAAAAGGTAATCAAAGAAGAACAAAAAAGAGAAAAGTAGTAGGTAGTTCACGATTCATCCACAAACAGATAAGTTTAATCACTATCATCTAAAGGCCATATAGAGAATAATTTTTTAATTGTATGCAAGCACAGAACAACAGCTTCAGTGGCTCCAAGGTATATTAGTATTATATTAACAGGATACAATGAGCAAAGAGGCAACACTACAATGAAAATTTTATGTTCAACTTAATGTAACGCAGCATTGGATTTTAGTAAGACTATCTAGTATGATTTCAGTGAAAGAAAACAGGAAGTTTTTTGTCACTTACTCTAAATATGGCATATAGCGTCTGGTTGTTAAGGTTCTGCATCTAGGGCTGTCAATGGACTCTGAAAATCTGAACCCCAATCCAACATTCAGTCTTACTAGTTTGGATTTGGTTCTTAGAACCTGCATCTGTTATTAAACAGATGCAGATTTTACCACATTCAATCCAATTATGACTAAAATTTGTTATATATGTTATAATTATACATAACTATATAAAGTTTGTAATTAATAAATTTAAATATTTTATATTTATATATATTTATTATATGTGTAAGTTAAATTATATATTGAATTTTGGATCGGATTTCAATTGGAATGTGGCTGGACCCAAATCCAAACCCAACCCGATTACAGCCATAACTGCATTTTGGACTCAGTATAAAAGGATATTCTGTGATACAAGGATAATTGTACATGCCTAGTATACTGGTATCATATCCAATACTTATCGGATAAAATAGTGGAAACTGCATGGATAATTGGGGGGGGGCTGGCATTACTTCGTGTAATGGTAAAATCTTGGGATGGCATGCATGAGAATGCGGGTTCAAGTCTGAAGGCAGCCACTTTGTGTGAAAAAAAAATGCCAAAGGTAGGACCATACCCAGTCTGCCCCATCCAAGACTAAAGATTGCTGGGACCAACATTGTGTAATGGTCTTTTTGGTCTTCTTTGGTATGCTTTAACAAATTACACTACAAAAATATCTGCACATGTTAGAAGGTAATTAAATTTGGCAAGACATAAGTCTTGAGAAATGACTTGTATATGTATGTATGTATTACATACACATGTTAGATGGGATACCTGTACCCACATCCATGTCCAGAATTTTTGGACATGTCCATGTCCATATCTGGGCATCATAGAGGGTTTGCCATGTAGGTGGCTAAGATGAAAGATTTCTTATATGCAAGGGAAAATAGGTAATAAGTCTCTAATATCTCGAGTTTCAAGGCATGAGTTTGGTATTTGGAATTCGTTTATTTGTTGTGAACCAGAAAACGCCTCTAGGACTTCTAATATTATTGGAATTTTCCAGTTCATGGAATTTCCTCCAGTAAGTTTACTATTTTCAAGAATAATTCCTTTACAGTACATGGTTAACAATAAAAGGAACTTCAGGAATAATGAATTCTTAATATTATTTTCTTTCAGGAATAAACGGAACTGCCATGAATGCCTAATGAGCAACTTTTACTTTCACAATGCCCCAGACTTGTAAAACTTTAATCTAAAAATCAGGTGTTTATCACCAAATGAACTTACTAGCTTTTTCTCTAAATAAAAAAATGTCTCTCAACCTGTACTTGGCATCAGCATTGATTTTTTTACAGTTTCATGAACTTGAGAAAATAGAAATCACCTGAATCAGTAGTTCAGTTTTCAAGCGGCGGCTTGCTTCATGTTCACTGCGCCCTTCACCTCGTTGACTAATGATTGCATCAATCTCATCAAGAAATATGGTTGATGGTGCATGATGCCTAGCAAGCTCAAAAAGAACTTTCACCAACTTCTCTGAATCACCTGCAATGTTGCATAAAATTGAAGTTACACCTCCATTGCATAACATCAAAATTGCATGTTGAGTAGTATCTGTATTCATATCCATTTTTGGACATCACGTTGAGTGATATCTAGTATAATAAGTTAATGAGAATAATGTCTAACATTTTCTAAATACCAATACACATTTTTCATAGTGATTATAGACTATAGAGTTTTCATCACTCAGATGTTAACCAAAATATTTAATGATTTCCACAATATAGCTGTTACTTCTAATAGCAACTCTCCAATAGGTAGCTGGATAAGGATGTAAGAGGGATGTATGTAACTCGTATCTACATTTCAGGAAGGTGACAAGGTGAGGTTCATCAGGCAAAGAAGATTAGAGATCTTAAGAAGGTGGTCGACAAGGATGTCCAAGTTAGTATAAGTTTGGGTTTGTTCTTTTAGGATGGAGAGTAACTTGTGTAGATGAATGATTGTAGGGTGCTATTTATCAAAAAAAATGATTGTTGGGTGCTGGTTTGTTTTTCTTTTAGGAGATTTAGAATGATATGGTAGGATAGTGTCGATTCAAAAGTAGTTAATTTCATGGGCAAATTGCAATATTGGTACTCTTTTGACTCTTGAACATGTGATAAGAGAAATGCAAAAGATTGCGAAGGACATAGAGGCTGAATTTAAGTGGGTTAGAAGAAGTGCTAACTGCAAATGGGTTAGCTGATTCCCTAATCAAATAAGGGGCTATGAGGCAGAAATTGTTTTGGGCTTCTATGTGATTTGAGTTTGAAAGTTGGGATTGGCATTCTTGTCACCAAGTTGTACTAACTACTTCTCTAATCAAGCCTAATAAAAATAAAATATATTTTCTGCTGATAAAAAAAAATATGGTGGGGTTTCATGAGTTTGGGTGTGCTGTCTGTGGCTTTGATTGTTTTTCCTGTATTTCCTGAGCTTTTGTCCTGGTTACCAATGTCTAGGCATGCAACTCAGGTTGGCCCAAGCTAGCATCTTACGCTGCTTCAGGCTCAGGCCTTCAGGCCAGTCCATTGAAATTTTGACAAAATCCCAACTTGAGCCTACTCAAGTTGCACCCCCACATGATGTCCCTTCATTTTCTTTAGAATAGAGAGTACGGGTCTGAATGTTTTGTCTGTTTGGGGGTGGTTTTTTCAGTAGTCAGAAAGGTGCCAGATGGTTTTGACTTTGGGTGTTTGGATTTGCTTTAGTGCCTTTTATTTTTTATTTTTTTACAGGTTTGTAGGGTTTTCTATTGAGTGCTTGGGCTGTAAGGCCTGGGTACAGATTGTATACCTTATTTATTTCAATGAACTTCTTACTAAAAGACACTCTCCAATAGGCCTAGAATGAAGTTTCTTGATGCCTTTTTTATCAATAACTTCAAGCTTTCAGTAAATTTAAGAAGATGGTATAGTACAATGAGTAAGAATACAACATAAAGTCATTGAGAGAAAAAAACTCTTATCTCGCCCCAAAACATAGACCCCTTGCTTGGCTAAAGTATTTGCAAAGAAATTAGCACTGCGCTTACACCAACTTAAGTATACCTCCATGTTTCTTGTTAGCCACTAAAATTTTTTCTTCTATTGCAAATCACATCTTCATTTCCTCACTTTGAAGCCAATTTACAACCAATTGAGTCCCCTTCCATAATTAACTTCCTTATGTTCAAGTCCCTTGCCCTTTGCACTCCCCATCATTGCTGAAACCTCCACTCTAAGAGAGTCTCCCCCTTCCCTGCTGGTCCTGAATGTAAAGCACAATTGTTTCCCCTCTTCATCCCTAAATACACCTCCAATTCCTGATAGTCCTGGGTTCCCCATGCTACTACCATCAAATTTGAGTTTGGCAAACCATGTTTCTAGTGGAGACCAAGTATGAATAATAATAGTCTTGTTTGAAGCAGAAATCACCACTTCCTTCCAATTTCTGAGAATGTCATCAGTTGTAACATTAGAAAAGATGTAACACCACTACCATAAAATTTGATCTTTGCATTCTAGTCCGTTTGCTTCTTGTGCTCCCTCTGTCTACCCAGGTACAACTGTAAATTCGTTTTTAGTGGCTGACTTGTGTTTTGTGCCTGAAACAGGTGCACCAACAGCCCACCCGCAAACAGAAGACTGCACAGGGAAAAGTTTAGAGGGAATATGAAAGTGAAGGCGAACAAAATCTGGAATATGATTTGCACAGAATTTGAGATTTTGCAACGGAAGGAAGATACAGTGGAGAAGAATGGCCAACATGAAAGTGAAGGAACTAAGTTAATTTCAAAAAGTGAGAAGGGGGAGCAAAAGGCTGAGAAACTGAGGAGGGGGGGAAGAAGAGATGAAAAATGATACTAGGGAGAATGAAGGTAAATAGGAAAAGAAAAAGAAAAAGAGAACAGTTGTGGAAAGGCTAATCTCTGATGTTGAGGGAGACTTAGAGTTTTGGAGGTCCTCTTCAGTTGCTCTCATGAAAATCATTAGCTGGAACTTGAGAGGCTTAGGAAGTGCGAGGAAGAGGAGGGTGATTAAGGATTTACTAAAAAGGGAAAAGTCTGAAATTGTGATGTTGCAAGAAACATAACTATCAGAACCGGATGAAAGGTGGATTAGGAGCTTTTGGAGATCTAGGAATATAGGTTGGACCTCGTCTCCCTCATGGGGAGCCTCAGGGGGACCGGGGAATCATCACTCTTTTGAATTTTCAGTCTCAATCATAGTTTTCAAGGCGCCAAGGCGAGGCTAGGTGACAGGGGGGCACCTTGTCGCCTAGTCACCCCTAGGCAATGGATTTTTTTATGTAGAAAACATAGAACCTAGGGTAGTTCCCTAGGTACCAGAACCATATTTCCTTAATAAATTATTCATAATTTTCAAAAGAAAAGTATAGAGTTCATATTAAAGTATAGAAAATCAACATATTCATGAGAAAAATGAAGGAAAAGAAAATTCAAAAAATATAGGGGTTGAACCCTTACTTTTGTTATAGGAAAAGAAGAAAAGAAAATGTGTAGTAGTAGTAGTAGTAGTTAGTGAAGGTAGAGTTCGTGAAGAGTGGCAAGCAGATTTCTAAAAGGGAGCTAAAGAGACTTCAATGGGATTTGAAAGAGCAAAAGAGAACAAAGCCTAGGGCGGATAAGGGAAAATCAGTGATTGGAGCTCAATGAAATTGTTAAGTTGGAACGTTAGAGGGTTGGGAGGCCAAATAAAAAGAAGTTTGGTAAAAGAATCACTGAGAAGAGAAAACCCAGATATAGTCATTC